GGAAAAACCCTGGTCAGCCCCAGCTCACTCTCCCTTCCAGCATCCGCTCTCTGCTGCGGTGACACGAGGTGGACAAGCACCTAGTTGGGGTTGTCTGACCCCAGCACATACAACACAATTTTATTTTAAGAAATACCATAAACATCAAAAACACGATAACTATATATATAAGGAAAGATACTCTAAATGCGCTTCTTTAAAACAATTACAATTACAACTAATTATATAATTTGAACCAGAAAAGTTATTACTATATTATGCTTACAATCCTAGAATTCCAAGAAGCCAAACACCTAGATATGGTTTCATTCCTCAGTAGTACAATTTAATGGGCTGGCCTCAGTAGTATGGTTCAATGGGCTGGCCTCAGCAGTGATAGGAACAAGTCCCCTTCCTTCAGTCCCACTTGGGTGCTCCGCGGCTTCAGTGTGAACTAAGAGATTCGCGTTCACAGAGAGGGTGGTTCAGGTGATTGGTCTGATCCGGCCTACACTTGCGATTCTTCCTTCGTTGTTCTGCAAGTGAGGTTACCTCCAAATTGGGACTATAGGTTACAGTTTTTATTGGGCGAGTTGCCATCTTGGGCCCCTCCTACCCAAAACTGTCACTACTCCCGAATTTGGGCTCGGATCTTACTCAACAGGTTTTTTGCTAGGTGGTCAGTTTGTCTTCTGCAACGGAATTTGTCCGCTGACTACTTAGTTTATCTTAAATTTTGCTTTGGAAGATTTTCCATACCACTGCGGTGACCTTTCTTTTACAACCCCCTTTCAAAAGGCTTCTAGGGTTTTGATCTCTCGCAATGTTTGCTTAAGGGTTGTTTTTCTTGTCCTTAGGATAACTTGTTAAAGACCTCTAGAGATAAGACCCAGGAGCCAAGACTTTAAGCACCTTTGTTGTAAGGCCAAGTAAAACAATGAATCTAGATAAGAAGATGAACCTCGCCCTTTTGTCTAAACTGGCTAATGGGCAACTATTACAAGCATTCAAACTATTACATTCAATATGACAAAAGCCTGCAAGTGGGAGAGGAACAACGGGAAAAACCCTGGTCAGCCCCAGCTCACTCTCCCTTCCAGCATCCACTCTGCTACGGTGACACGAGGTGGACAAGCACCTAGTTGGGGTTGTTTGACCCCAGCCCTCTTTCCTATCCAGGGCAGGGGGCCAGACTCGATGGCTTACTGAGGTCCCTTCTGCCCCTAACCTCTGTGAATCTATGAATCTAAGAGACTGGGCAGGACGGACCCATGGTCTGACCCAGTACATGGCAGTTCTTATGTTCTTATGACTCAATTGACTTCATGGCTTTTTATCATTTCCCCAATTCCTGCTAATCTCCCTCCACTGAATAGGTGTGAGTGACACACTCTCATTTTTTATGGCCTTGATGTTTCAAATCATTCTTCCTTCTGCAATGTTGCTGTCTGTTAGCCTGTCCTTGTAATGTCTATCTCCTATTTCACAGCTCTGCAGCATATTTTCATCTCTGGCTAAAAACCTTCACTCATGGGTGTTCAGATGAACTCAGGTGTAGAAATAATTTCCAGTGAAGTACTGGAGGCACTGCCAACACACACAAGAAGGTTAGATTTTGTTTTGTGAACCTGAATGAGACGCACACTTAATTACAGTGATTACAAGACTGGTGACACTATATTTTTTGACTCTTGCCTAACTTGTTGTGTTTTTAACTTTCAGATATAATATAGCAAAGAAATACACATCCCACTAGTTGTATGTGTTTTTGCTTTGATCTTAGAGTGAATACAGTAGCGCTGGCCTCTAGCATATTAGTAAAGCTTCTAGTTTCTCTTTAACTGGGGAAAATGTGCACTGTGGTCATGGGGGGAACTAGGATTTTGAAAAAGCAGGGTGCAAATGGTGCATAGTAGACTTGTCCAACATATGGCCCGCGGGCCAGCAGCTTCCTAATGGCTGCTGAAGGGCTGGGGAAGGGACAAGGTTCCCACACGCACCACGTTAGCTTGACATTGCTGACGCGGTCCGGCTCCTCCCCTCCCCCCTCATTTCACTGTGTCCCTTCCTCGCCCTGCCCCTCCCTTCCTCATTTGCATGCCAGCCCCGCCCTGCGCCAGGCCCCGCCAGCCACGTGGGCTGGAGCAGATCGCAGTGCAGCGGGCAGGTGGGCGCAGGGGGCGTGGATGCCGGTGCGGAGGGATGCTGCGGCCGTGCCCGCGGGAGATGCTGATGCTGCTGGTGCTGTGGCTGTCAAGGTGGGAAGCCGGTGCCGCTCCCGCCTCCCCGCATCCCCCCACGCTTGCAGACATTGCGTTGGGGGTGGTGAGTCGTGGGCCCTGGGGAGGGAAGAACCCCTGCCACTTGGGCTCAGGCTCCCCCGGGGGGGGGGGGAGCAGGGGGGTGTCCCTGAACATCTTTAATGGTGATGCCAGTAAAGCAGTGCAAAAGATTAAGGTGCTTTAAAGGCCAATTTTGTCATGTGTGCAAGTGCCCTAAGTGTTTTTTTCCCTCGATATAGAACCTGCTAAGATAATATTGAATGCATTAATAAAGTCAGCAGGGGTTTAGGTTGTAGCTGTGTTGGTCTAAGGACACAGGCAGACAAGGTTCCTTAGGTGAATCTGATATCTTTTATTAGACCAACCCAAATGGTTGGAGAATAGTTATTAAGCAAGCTTTAACGTTCAAAAACCCTTCATCAGGCTCAGGAATTTCGGTAAGTGAGCTGTGTGCAAGGTTGATTAGGCTTTAGTGATCCCTTGGCACCATCTGGTGGACAGTTGGTGCAGGAACCACACTCCTGGTGCGAGAGTTTTTCCTATTATCCAACCTCAACTCCCCTTGCTGCCACGTGAGCCCATTGCTCCTTGTTCTGTCATCTGCCCCCACTAAGAGCAGTCCAGCTCCACCCTCTTTGGGACCACCCTGCAGGGAGCTGAAGACTGCTGTTCAACCCTTCCTCAGTCTTCTCTTCTCCAAATAACCCCAGTTCCCTCAGCGTCTCCTCACAAGACATGTCCCCCAGTCCCCAAACCATTTTCATTGCCCTCCACTGGACTCTCTCCAAAGTGTCCACATCCTTTCTGTAGTGGGGGCCCCACAACTAGACTCAGGACTCCAGACGTGGCCCCCCCAGTGCTGAATAGAGGGGAATAAACACTTCCCTGCATCTGCTGGCAACACTCCTACTAATGCAGTTCAGGGTGCCATTAGCTTTCTTCGCAACAAGGGCACACTTTATCATATATTTGTCTGGATTTCCCCCAAAGTACTTTATGACCCAAGCTACACAAACCAACCTGGTCTGTGGGTGTGGGTGGAAATTTGCAGAGGCAGGGAAAACAACCCACTGAGCGGCCTGAAGCCAGCCAGGAACAATGGAGGGGTTAAAAAATAAAAAGCAATTGAGAAGAGATCTTTGGGGCATTTGGGATTCCTTTGCTGGTTTTCATGGTGTCTTTTTTGTTTTGAGAATGGGAGAAGGGAGGAAAAGGTGGAAGTGGGGGAAAAGGGATGTTCGGTCCCTGGCCTGTCCTGCATGGGTACAGGCTGGGGCAGCAGCAGCTCTGCAGAAAAGGACCGGGGAGTGATGCGCTGAAGTTGGCTACTTAGTCCCATTCTTATTCCTGGCTCCCGGTTCCTTTTTCAAAGCTAACCTGTACCTAATAAGAGCTTGTTATTAATGAATTACACATTGTAAAGAGAGAGATTTTCATTAGCTATGTATATGTACTAATTGATATGTAAAAGAATATCCTTCATCAAATACAGAGCCCTAAATGAAGGTCAGATAAGGATGGGATTATGGGGCAAAATACTTCTTGGGCCACCCCAGACTTCCTGCCATGCCCCTGGGGGACTGTCCCAAAGAGTGCAGTCCTGCCCGGCCCACCCAACAGCCCCCGTGCCCGCTGTACTACGTATGATGGCTTGAATAAGGAACTGGCTTTTGGGCTGTGGCTAGAAGTTGTTTTGGCAACCCCACGGCATACCTCTGTGGCACCGGGGGACTCTCCCCGACATCTCTGGCCAGGGTCTTGCCCAGCCTGAAGCGCAGTTTGTGTGTGCCAGGCTGCCAACTGACACCCCCCCCATGCCTGCTGTACTAAGTATATGGGCTTCAATAAAGAACTGGTTTTGGCTGGGATTATGGTTGGAAATCCCTTGCCCCCCATGGGGATCTGGCAGGGTGTGTGTGTGTGTGTGTGTGTGTGTGCGCGCGTGTGTGACATCCGCCCTCTGAGTAAATGTGATCTCTTCTATTGCACCAACTCAAAAAGTTGGAACAATTCTTCTTTGCGAGCTGCCAGGTACAAAGCCCCTTCGTCAGGCTGAGGAAGCATCTACAGTACTTCTTCTGTCTGAAGAAGGGTGTTTGTACCCAAAAGCTTGCCCATGTCCCTCATGCTGTATTATGGTAGTTTGGTATGTTTTTGGGAGCGTGGCTTCCAGCCAGAGCCCTTAATACATGCTGCTGAAGTGATAAATGTGTTCCTGTAGCAAAACTCCCCAGGCAATGCCCGTCAAACCTGGCCCTTACAACGTTCCTGGCTCCCAGGCCAGCAGCAGCTCCTCCCTCTTTATTTCATCAATGCTCCTCTTTGCTAATTTGCTAAAGGAGAAGAGAATCATAGACTCGGGTCGGAAGGGACCTTGTAGATCTTCAAGTCCGACTTTCTGGGGAGGAGAAAACTGGGCTCAAGTGACCCCAGCCAGGTAGGCAT